AGCCGTTTTTTTCATTTTCAAAAATAAAAAATCGACGCACCCTACTACACATGTATCTCTTCTTTCACTACGATGCGTTCACTTGGATGACATTAACACCAAAAATAGAGTAAAATAGAGCGCGTAACTCATTTTGAGAGGTAGACACTCTACAAACACGGCAAGTGCGAGTAACCGTACTGGGATATTTGTTTGTGTGTACATTAGGGTGTTTCCCATATCTGTAAATAGAAAAATGGTATTTATTAATTTAAAGTAGGCAAAATTCTATGTAAGTTAATGGCATTTATACAACGAAGCGATTGATGTTAGCACTTCCCGAAGCAAAAAACTGTTTTCGAAATCTAATGATACTTACAATGGAAAAACGCTCTGTTTGTACTCCCGCACAGCCATCTCAACCAAATGGGAAATGACTTTTTTTGTGCATAACTAACCCACATATTCGGGATAGCAGTTACGTAACAAATGTTACTTATGATTTATTTTATTTTATTGTATGGTATTGCGATGATTAGTTGGCTGCTATTCGAACTCGGGCTCGGATATGTCCACGTCGTTATCGTCGTCGAAGACGGCGGCATCGGCGTTGATTTGATTCCAATATCGGTTGATTGCAGCAGGTATTGGAAGTCCAAGCAATGTCCATAGTCCTGATTAATCGAAAAAATGAATCTTTTTTTGCGATCATTCAATCACATTGTGTATCAATATCCTTACCTTTCAGTAGAATGTTCTTAGCAGCCACGACGTCACGATGCCAAGTCACGGTGCATTCGAGGTCTAATTGCCATTTTTTGTAGTAAGGTTTTACTCTTGACATTAGCTCCTCTTCTATTTCAAATGCTCCGTTCAATGTGCGTTGTAACTGTCGATATGTAGATGTATCTGTCTTGCCAAACTTAGACACAATTTTGGTTGGCAGCAGTGTTATGGCGTTGGGTATGCACCGACACATCTTGAATTTGGCCGATTTGGGTTGGTTTTGGAATCGGCACATACATCTTGCGTCTGTTTGAGATGTTCCCCATTCGTCCACCGGCACGACAACAATGTATGGTCGCTTCTTATATGCCTGCATCAGTTTGCGTACACCCGGACACCGCACGTGTTTTTTAATTCTTATCGGGCAATCAGGTGGTACTTCGCCATCAGCGCCATGGAATAACAGAGTCGGTTCCTTATTGGTGATCTTGTTCACAAATCCGTCGATAGCTTTGTTGCTCCTAATGTATTTGTCCAAGGCGAGTCTAGTGTACTTTGCAGTCGAGTAAGCTTCGATTCCATGTTTGGTCATCTTTACTCGATGCTTAATATAGCTCAGCCACTGTGAACCTTTTGGTGATGGCATCATTGCGTACAGCTCACGATTCTCTCGATCTTGTCTTTCTTTCTCGATGAAATTTTTCGTGAATCGCTTCGCTTTTGCGTTTCGTACATTTTGATGTGTCTCCCAATGGAACTGTTTGCTCTTTTTAACAAAGTTGATCTGCGAATAAATCGAAAAAAAAAAAAAAACAAAAATAATTAGTGAACTTAAACACAATGTGCATCATTGTATTTTATTATACTACACACACTTCTTTGCAAGTATCAATTTCATGTATTGTTGTGGTATTCCAGTTCCGCATGCCTGAATCTGTACCTCCCAATCTTTTGAATTTGCCCGCCTTCAACATGTCAATGATGTCCAATCGACTGGTGCCCGATTGTGTGTTGCTGGTCTCCTTCTTTTTGGTGGAATACTGCAGAGACACAGCAATTCCATCGCTGTTTATCGAAAAGTCAAATTTCTTTTTGCGGCGGACAAACCACCGAATTTTACGCATATAAAAATACTGATTCCATATGTAATCTTTATTCTCGTTGAAAACCTTTTGTGAAATATTTTTGTCACTTGGTTTTCCGTCTTCAGTTAACTGTTTCGGAATCAATTTTTGAGAAGACAAGATCTGATACATACTCGAACAGTCGATTTTGAAATGCGTACGCCGAAAATCACACATCGGAACTACCACCAAATTGCGAATGCACGGTAGATATTCCAAATCGTCGAGCATTTGTTTTCGTTTGATGATCCACTGTCGTTTCTTACCCTTCGGTCTTCTGCGCTTTCTCTTTTTGCGTTTCTTCGGTGGCTCTTGATGTGCTCGCAGCAAATTAAATTCTTCTATCTCGCGTTGCATAGATAGATACATCGGCACAGCTTTGAACCAATTTTTTGAATTGGTCGTGAGATCATGTAGGTCGATTTCCGGGAACACATTCAACTTATTGACGATGTCATACAAAACTCCGCACCGATAAAGTTTATTTGGGTCACTAGCTGGCACTTTGATGACCTTTTTCAATGAAACAAGGGAAATAGAATAAATTCATTTTTATAAAAATTTGTCAACGAGTCAAAAAAAAAACCATTGTAAGCTTAAACAATATGAACCATTGAAAACTCAGTTCTTTTCATGATTTGAATAAACATTTTCAACATACCTTTTCCTTGAGAATGAGTTTCACCACACAGTCGATGTCATTTGGCAGGTATTTCTCTTCAATGGCTTCATTTGTGTTCATCTGAAACACTTTCATCTTCAGATATTGGGTTATGTGTTTATCCGGATGTGTTTGCGAATTGGTGACATTGTTGTCTATGTATTGATTGCAAGGGGCTTATGACATATGTGAATCGCAAGAGTCTCATGTAAATTATACTAATCAATAAGAGTCTGTATGTGATTTGCGAGTCCCCTTATGATTTTCGAGTCAGTAAAAAGTCTCAATGACAGGTTTTAAGCGAATGTTAAATCATAACAATTTGTTAACCACCAATAACAACAAACATGTACACTGATACAAATTGAAGAACTGATACAAATAAACGAAAATAAAAAATAGACACAAATTTAGAAAAAAATGCACCAAATATAGCATAGATCACAAACACAATAAGATAAAAACACTTCTATCACAAATCAAATGAAACAGTAATGAAGAACGCATTATAAATATCACGTCTTTCCTCAACAAAGAACTCTGTATTCTAAATTTATTTCCAATGTGACATCAAATATTTTCCCGATCGAAATGTTTTTGGAATATTCACAGTAAATTTTAACAACACTCTGTTATTTCGAAATTAAAACAAAAATGAAGACAAAACCAACTGTAAATATATCCATTCCTCAGCGAACAGCTTTCCGAACACACAAAATCGTTGAAATTGAAATGACAATAAAATCAATTGATCGCCCAAACCACGCTACAGACACTCACATCTAATTCTCAAGAAATCCTCTTAAAAACAAAACAAAGTTTTATTGTAAACAAAATCGGTTGGTGCGATTGTAGTTTCAAAGTGATGGAAGTTGTTTATACTAACAATACTGTCACACGATGCGAGCACATTTTTATTACATATAAATGAATATCTTTGGATTTGGTTTGACACATATACACCGCGCCAATCGAAAAATGTCAGAAAGATGTTAGTTGCATCTCGAACACTGAAAATACTAATTCCACAAATAAAGAAAATTAAATGCAATAAATGACGTATAAAAAAATAGTTCTTCTGCTGAGTTTTAAATTAAATTATGCAAATCTCTTTCCTAACAAATTGTTTATTTTTTTATTTGAGCGTAATATTTGGATTTTCAATTTAAAACTTAATGTATTGGGTTGTGTTCACATTATGTTGTCAAATGAAATATTATTGGAAGTAAAAGAAACAAGTGGATCCATTGCATTGGAATTCGTGGAAACTATGCACATAATCTCCGTTCCATTTGACACGAAAATGACCACCAGAATGTGAACACAACCCAAAACATTAAGTTTTAAATTGAAAATTCAAATCTTACGCTCAAATAAAAAAATAAACAATTTATTCGGAAAGAGATTTGCATAATTTAATTTAAAATTCTGCAGAAGAACTCTTTTACACGTCATTTATTGCATTTAATTTTCTTTATTTGTGGAATTATTATTTTGAATTTTCGAAATGCAACTGACATTTTTCGTTTGGCGCGGTGTATATGTGTCAACCAAATCCAAAGATATTCATTTATATGTATTAAAAATCCCGAGTGAAAAATGGCATTGAATTTTTTAATGCGTAGTGTCAAACGGCATTTAAGCAATAAATCGAGACCGCATGGTCCGTGCGCACGTTGAGTGCATACACCACATCGCTATAGCCATGCGGTGTCGATTTATTGCTTAAATGCCGTTTGACACTACGCATTGAAAAATTCAATGCCATTTTTCACTCGGGATGTGCTCGCATCGTGTGACAGTATTGTTAGTATAAACAACTTCCATCACTTTGAAACTACAATCGCACCAACCGATTTTGTTTACAATAAAACTTTGTTTTGTTTTCAATAGGATTTCTTGAGAATTATATGAGAGTGTTCGAAGCGTGGTTTGGGCGATCAATTGGTTTTATTGTCATTTAAATTTCAACAATTTTGTGTGTTCGCTGTTTGCTGTGGAATAGATATATTCACAGTTGGTTTTGTGTTCATTTTTGTTTTAATTTCGAAATAACAGAGTGTTGATAAAATTTACTGTGGATATTCCAACAACATTTCGAACAGAAAAATATTTGATGTCACATTGGAAATAAATTTCATCATTCGATTTAGAATACAGAGTCCTTTGTTGAGGTAAGACGTGATATTTATAATGCGTTCCTCATTACTGTTTCATTTGATTTGTGATAGAAGTGTTTTTATCTTATTGTGTTTTTTTAATTATCAAACAGAAAGAAATTTGAACAATAATTGCTTTGACACAGTGGAAATTTTTAAGAGAATTAATATGATTCCTTTTGATGCTAGAAAAATTATATGTTTTCAATTAAATGTTGATGTTATTTGAAATTGACATTAACGATTGACTCGTGACTCGTGCTACAGCCATACATTTTGTGTATGTTATGTATGATGTGACTCGTGAGCAGTTTGTATGAGACTTTCACGAGTCAACGCTGGTTCGAGTCAGTCATAAGCCCCTCGATTGATTGCATAGATGTTTGAGGCCATTACCGAAATCTTTGTTGCTAGGCCAATCAAAGCGATGGACCTCATCAAGACCTTCCACAATTGCCTTGAATTCTGGATCGATTGGTGGAATTTCTTTTGCTGGTCCACGGGGTTTCCGTTTAGTCTTTGATGGTTGCTCTGGCTCCGGCTTTGGCTCTGGCTCTGGCTTTGGCTTCGGCTTTGGTGTTTTTTTCGGCTTCGGCTTCGGTAGTAAATTAATTTACAATTGTAAATTACAATGGAATGAAAAAAGAGAAAAAAATCAGTTAGAATGGATGCGAAAATAAAATGAATTTTAGATTGAAATCAATATATTAATTAAAATAGAACTGTAAAATCCATGTTATCCATAGTTGATTTTAGTGTATAATTACATTTGTTGGGTTGTGCTTTGCTAGCACTTGACTGAAGCATGTGTTGATCTTTTCTTCCCCGCTATTGGCAAAGAAGCTGAAATCACCATTGTTGATGCCTACGTTCATATGCCTTTTGCACCTCTAATAAGAACAGCAACGAACCCAAATTGCAAATCATTGTAGCCTGTAGACTTAGATCAGTTATTTTGCCGATCAGTTCCTGCTGGTATGGCGGCCGAATTATTGATTTCAGTGCACATTTGATCGTCGTTATCTCATCTTTCTTTTCTCCCTCAGCTGGTAGAGACGGCTTGTAACGATTTGCCATTTTTCTATTGAAAAAAACACACACATTTGATTTAGTTTAAAAACGAATACTATTGGATTGGCGATATTTAGACATTTTCATTGATCCATATCGATATTTTTTACTAAATGATTTTTCATATTAATGATACCTGGCTGAGACACAAAAATATCGAATATGCATATTTATGAATGAATAAATCTCCTGCACAAATATGCACACACGCACACACATGTTTTAAATTCAATTTTTTCGAGCGACAACAGAACAAGAATCTATCTCCTTTTTTGGTACACACACAAAATGATGCAGCACACAAAAATACAAAAATCTTCGGATTGATAACAATGGCAGTAATTTAGAGAAGAAAACGATATAACGCATACTATTGAGTAGTCAATTTGAGCCCAAACAATAACTGTTTCTCTTCTCTGAACAATGGAACCAATTCAAAATGGGTATCACCGCTTGAAATGAATTTCACCACCCCACGCAACAGAATTATGTACTGCAGAATAATTGTGAACTTCATTACTTTTTTCATGAAATGATATGTTCAACGTTAAATAATTATTGGACTACTTAAATATATTTCACGTTATAGATGGCTTATATTATTACGTGCTATGAAATAAAAATCAATTTCACAATAAGAACAAGAGGAATAACTGCACGTAAGCACGTAATTCAATTTTTGATTTTTCATTAAAAATAATATTTTTTATTGATGAATTGACCAATATTTTTCACGGTAGTAAAATGATTAAGTTTACTCACACTGGTGACTTGGATTCAACAATTTGTCAATCGACTGATCAAGTGTGGAAAGTTCGGATCAAATCGATACAAAATGCACGTATATCGAAAATTTAACTACATATTTTGATACATTTTAGTTCAACACTATTCAATTCGTTTGTTTTGTGAATTTTATTTTAATTAATTATTTCAATATATTCAAGAATAAATGCTTACTAAAGTATATACGTGTACAGTGCTAATTCTGCTATTTATTGCTAATTTTGCTATTTTCTTCATGTAAATTTCCCTATTTTTTTGCTAATGTGCTAATTCTAATTCGCATGGATATCCCCTAGCATTCGAGCCAGGGGTCAACGACACTGAAATACTAAAAAGGGCGTTCGGAGGAAGTTTCACATATACCGAAATAGAAAAAATACACACAGAAATGTTGGATGATATGAAATTACGTTCGCATTGGCCGTTTCATTACGCCGCAAAATCGGGTAATAGTACAAATTATCGAGTCAAAATATCAAGTTTTTTTATGTTTGATCCTTTGATTTCCAGGTGATATGACTACGGTTGAAGATTATATCAATCGTGGATATAATATTAGCTCAGAAAATGAAGATAAACAAACGGTGCTTTTTTATGCTGCGAAATATGGTAAGAGTCGATACAATCAAGTCGAACTATGAATTCTTTTAAATGCTTGATTCTTTACATTCCAGGTAAGAAGGAGATGGTCGAATTTCTCATCTATCATAGGGCTAGTGTTAATGCAGAAGATAACGATAAACAAACGCCGCTACATGTAGCTGCACTATGGGGTAGTAGTGCAAACTATCGACTCGAACTAAGAATCCTTTTTAATGTTTGATTATTTGTATTCCAGGTCGGAAAGATGTGGTCGAACTTCTAATCAATCATGGGGCCAGTGTTAATGCAAAAGATATAGATGAACAAACTCCGCTCCATTTATCTGCACAATGGGGTAATAGCCCAAACTATATCGACTCGAACTAAGAATTCCTTTTAATGTTTGATTATTTGTATTCCAGGTCAGAAGGATGTGGTCGAACTTCTCATCAATCATGGGGCTAGTGTTAATGCAGAAGATAAAGATAAACGAACGTCGCTACATGTAGCTGCAGTGTGGGGTAATAGTCCAAACTATCGACTCGAACTAAGAATTCCTTCTAATGTTTGATTGTTTGTATTCCAGGTCAGAAGGATGTGGTCGAACTTCTCATCAATCATGGGGCTAGTGTTAATGCAGAAGATATACGTAAACTAAAACCGGTCCATTTAGCCGTAAAAAGTAGAAATTGGATAAAAATTGAGTCAAACTATGAATTCTTTTAAATGTTTGATTCTTTGCATTTCAGATGGAAATAAGGATGAGATCGAACTTCTCATCAATCATGGGGCTAATATTAATGCGACAGATAAAGATAAGCAAACGCCGCTCCATTACGCTGTAGTATATGGTAATAGATCAAACCTAGGATCAAACTATCGAATCAAACTATGAATTCCTTTTGATGATTGATTCTTTGATTTCTAGATAAGAAGGATTTGGCTGAACTTCTCATCAATCGTGGGGCTAATATTAATGCAGAGGATAAAAATAAACGAACTCCTCTACATGTAGCTGCACAAAGAGGTAATGTCGAAAAATATCCTGTTGAACTATAAATTTCTTTTAATCTTTGATTCTTTACATTCCAGATAATAAGGATTTGGCCAATTTTATCATCCTTTCTGGGGCTAATATTAATGCAGGCGATAAAGATATACGAACGCCGCTCCATGTAGCTGCACAAAAGGGTAATAATGCAAACTATCGAATCAAGCTATGAAATCCTTCAATAATTGATTCATTGCTCTCCAGGTTGGAAGGATTTGGCTGACCTTCTCATCAAACATAATGCTAGTGTTGATGCAGAAGATATAGATAAACAGACTCCGCTCCATTTAGCTGCAGAATTTGGTAATAGTGGAAACATCAAATAAAACAATAAATTCCTTTCAAAATTTAATTCTTTGATATCCAGATAAAAAAGATATTGCTGAGCTTCTCATCAGTCATGGGGCTAGTGTTAATGCAGAAAATAAAGATGACCGATTGCCTCTACATTTAGCTTGCCAATTTAGTATAAACTATCGAATCGAACTTTGAATTCCCTTCAATTGAGTTTTTTTAATTAATCTTTCAGGTAGTATAAGCGTGGCCGAAATTCTCATCAGTCATAAGGCTAATGTTAATGCAGTTGATAAAAATAAATTAACGCCACTCCACTTCGCTGCCCAAAATAGTAATTGATTATTTGGAGTATCCTATAAATTTTTATTTGTTTGATTTTTTTAGGCAGTGTGGCTGTAAGTGAGCTTCTCATCGAAAATAGGGCTAACGTTGTGGCTGAATCATCTTTCAAATGGACACCGCTCCATTTTGCAGCAAAAAATGGTAAGAGTACACATTTCGAGAGAATAAATAACTCAGTGCGAAATTTTTTGAAAAATTTAAAATTGACATTACTTTGTATATACTATATATGGTATGAAAGTACTACCTCAGGTAGTCTACCTGAGTATAGTAAAACCTCGATGGGTTTTACAAAGTTAGTTGCCAATATGTTTTTATCGACCTATGAAAACTCCAGTGTGATCACTTTAAATCGAAACTTTGGAGTAAATATTGTTTCCATTCAAACGCTTTGTACATGAGTTTTTAGGGGCTTTTTGGCATGGGAAGACCGAGTCTGATATTTATTTTGCGATACAATCAAGTTTTGATACACTTACCTACGAAAAAGAACAAAAATTCACCAATTTTATCATCCGATCAAAAAATTACGTTCTCCAAAGTTGTTTAGAACAATGAGAGACATTTATTGATACTATGATTGGATGTTGATAAATAATTGCAGGTAAAACCGAAGTAGCTATAATTTTGATTTGGAATGGGGCCCAAGTTGATGCAAAAACTACTAATGGAAGTACACCACTGGATTTAGCTACTAAAAATGGTAATAGTTTTAAAATTAGCCATTGACAGATGAGTAACCGTCTTTTTATAAAACGCTTTTAAATGTATAGAATATCATCATCTGTCAAGGGTTCATTTGTTGCACAATGCATTTCAATGTTTTCTCAATGTTTTTATAAATTTTTCAGTTACAAGGGCTTCACTTAAACTACACATGGACAAATATTGTTCGAAGATTGGCAAATCGCTGGATAACTTCTTACAGGGTATCTCCGAACAATTTTTTGTTTCATTAACTTTATCTAATCTCTTAACAGTGCTTATCCTTTAATATTTAAATCTAAACATTTCTCATTTTACAGAAATAATTCCACTTTCAATTGGAATGCTAATAGCAGCCGGGTGTATTGTGATAATTATTGTTGTGATCATTCTCAATTCTTTTCTACGTGAACGAAAGAGGCGCATTAACTTGGCAAAACTTCTTCATGGAAATCTAAAGAGTATTGACCGAAGTCGTGCTCTGAATGATCAAGCCCATCTTTTGCCATATAAGGAAGAGTTTAAATTTTCCAGAAAAAATCTCAAATTCAAAAATAAAATTGGGACCGGTGCTTTTGGTATAGTCTACGAAGGACTTGCACGTGGAGTCTTATATCATGAGGAGGAAACCAAAGTTGCCATCAAGATGGTCAATGATATGTCCGATGACGAAGTAAGTTCGATTTGGAAATTCAATAATTCATAGAATTGTTCACACCAAGCATGTTGGCCACAATCTTTTTTAAAAATATACCAACATATCGATTTGTTCAAATGAACCCGAAAGAACCTTTAACTAAGCTATATGTTGCTTTATGGGAACTTCCACAATAGTGTGTGATTTTATCGAATTCATTTTTTCATTTCAATATTATCCTTTTTATAATGTGTAATAATAAAAAAAGATTAGTATAACAAGCCATTCTTATGTACAGGCATTGAAAGATTTAGTGTCTGAGATGAAAATTATGATGTATTTAGGTAAGGATTTAAATGTGGTGAATTTACTTGGAGCTGTTACCGAGAATATTGAACAAAGTAATTAAATCATTTTCATTTTATATGAATAATATTCAAAAATATGTATTCACTCTACATATTTATAGATGAAGTGATGATTATTGTTGAATACTGTGATTACGGCAATATTCGGGATCTATTGAAGAGTAATCACAAAAGTTTCATCAATCAAGTTGATTATGAAAATGATTCCATTGATTCAACTATAACGAATGAAAACTCAACTGAACACGAAAATGATCAACAACAAGTAAGTTCTACTATCCTAAGATAAAATATTTCATTTTAAAATTACTACATTGATAATTTTCTCAGTTCGAAGAAGATAAACAATCAATTGACTCAACAATGGACTCAGATTCAGGCGAATTGGTAATCATGATAACAAATTTTAATTATGACTAATTAATCAAGACCCCATTAGTCATGATTAATTTTCCTGATCAAGTAGTAATAAGTGGCATGACCACACCAGAAAAACCATACAAAATTCATATCTATGAAATCATTTTGATATTTGAACCACACTGTTAATCTATAGAGATTAAAAAATTAGAAAAGTATTCAACGGGCTGTGTGTTTACAACTAGGGAGAAAGAGATCTTAAAATACCGACTCGTATTTACAATACAGTGTGTCTCATATAAGTGGGCCAGAACTACTCCGATAGAAATTCGTAGAAATTTATTTCCTAAATTTCTATCGGAGCAGATTTTTAAAAATTATACCAACAGAAGAAAAAAATGCAATTTATACCCTCAGTAGAGGCCTTATATGAGACACCCTGTATAAACTTATATTGATCTCGCATTGATTGGACTGTAATTTTCCCAATGTTATTCCACGTGTATTCCTCCACCACAGTGATTTTGCTGTCAATATGTGCTACATCGTGTATTGCAAGAAATAACGATGCTTGCTGTGCTTACTGTGTTAGCACAATCAACCGCAATCAACCAATTGCAAAAAAACTAATGATTTCTACTGTTTGCAACCTCCAATCAGATTTTGAATGAAGATACCAGGCAACGATTTACGTATACCACATCTTCACATTACTTACCATGGCCAGAAAATCGTTTCTCTGTGATTCTCTTACCAAAATGCGTAGATTTTTGATATTCAGATCATTATTATGATATACACAATCAAAACCTAATTAAGAAAATTGGTCACGACTAATAAGGTTGAATCATAATCAAATTCAAATTATCACTAAATAATTATTCAAGGTGGATAGCTTCGGATTCTGCCCAGACTATGGTAAATGAATAATATACAATGAAAATCCCAGTCTATAGAATAATTCCAGTGTGTCCATAATATATAGAAATATCACTAAATAGTGTCGATATCTATACTATATCGGTCCACTATATATGAAAGATATTGCCGCACGGCACCGTATCGCACGATCGAAGCCAGTGTAGACGGAAAAAATCACAAATTGCCATGCGGCAGTAGAAAGAACTGTGTGTATGCGTCAACATGTTTGCCGTCCGCACTCACTTCTATCGTGAGCTACGGTGTCTTGCGGAATATCTTACATATATAGTGGACCAATATAGTATAGATATCGACACTATTTAGTGCTATTTCTATATGTTATGGACACACTGAATAATTCAGATTATTATCAATTTTTCTATATCCAGTTGAAAACGAAAAAACAAAGATTGGTTCAATTACAATTGATAAAATTACAACGTCTGATTTAATTTGCTGGTCATTTTAAGTGGCGCGGGGAATGCACTATTTAACTTCTCGTAATATTCTACACCGAGATTTGGCTGCAAGAAATATTTTACTGTGCACCAATAATGTAGTGAAGATTTGTGATTTCGGATTGGGGCGACATATGACCAGCAAAGGATATTACCGAAAGCGTGGAGAAGTGAAATAGTTTCATGATTTAATACATACATATACGATCTTTCTATGCGAATGTTTTTTTCAGGAAAAAGTTCCATTGAAATGGTTGGCATTGGAGTCGCTAATTGAACCAATATACACTGTATATTCTGATGTCTGGTCTTTTGGCATTGTTTTATGGGAGCTATTTTCACTCGGAGCAGAACCATATCCTGGAATAGTAGCGAATACTTTTGACGAGCTAAAAACACATTTACAAGACGGACACAGAATGAGCAAACCAGATTATGCCACACACTCTATGTAAGTTACAAATGATTTTTATCATTTAAGCAGTAATGAACAATGACTGAGATTTAAATATTTTAGATACGATGTTATGTACTCATGTTGGAACATTGACCCCAATTCGCGTCCATTATTTGATCGTCTTGCAAAGACATTTTCTGATCTTATGAAACCTGATGATCTAGAGGAATTTAACCATTTAAATAAAACGTTTGAGAATTCAATTGCTCAAAAATATAAATCTGAGGAAAATGAGGAAAATGAGGAAAACGACGAAAGTCCACAGTCATGCTTATGCTGTACTTCTCGCTTTTTTAGATCACATAAAAATCTAAATGAAAGCACCGAATGTTTGGTGAATATAACATTGCTGCCAATCGATAATGCAAATTAAAAAAAAATACAAAGAAAACAATGTTCAAGTATCTACAACTATCAATAATACTATTTCCTTTTGCTGCGACTTAAATTTTCAATAAATGGCTTCAGTTGTGAAAGGAAGGAGAAGATTCAGCAAGATGGTGAACTCTTTATGGTATTCACAGATCATGGAATCTCGACTGTTTAATGAGAAATATGAATATCGTTGACAGTTTACGTTACAATATTGATGATTTCAATGGCGAAACGTATTCAATTTTCTCAGATTTAATTTTTTTTTTTTGAAATTAATGTTAAAGTCACGCTATTTTTTTCTAAACACACAAAAGAAATGAAACTACAACAGTCTTTAAAGTTCACTCTTTACTTTTACTTTCATCAACAATTAGATAAAAATTGCATTATTTTTATACAATATTCAGGTCGAAACAAAAATATATATTTATTTGAACTTAAAATAAAAGACAAATGTGAAACAAACACACATAGAGAATCCATTAAGCGAAGAATAGGTGAGGAAAGGTTTAATTGACTTGGAATTACAAGATTGAATACAAGATTCAAAGAAAAATGCCACGAAGAAAGGCAGAGAAATGAAGTAAAAATAACAAAACAAAACAAAAAAAATATTGTTATTTAACAAATTAAAAGAGTTTTGGCTTCGAATCACGGATTTGGAAGAAGATAGAAAAAGAAGAGAGAAAAGTAAAATTTTGAATGAGAAAGAAATGAACTGTTAAAGAACAATTAATAAAAGTCATTAAATATGTTTTTAGATCCAATTACTATAAACTACATAACTTTCTAGTAACAAGTACGAATTAATTTAACGAATAGCATGATGAAGATGAGTATGTGTCTCTCCGTGTGTATGTGTGACGTGCGATAAAAATCGCGAGCCTCCGGTTGAGTTTTGAATGAATTGAATTGCTCGTGTGATGGAAATTTATCTCAGACGTGCATGCAAAAAATTCGTCTGTGAAGCAGATTCACATTGTCTCGAACACGCCGACATTATGAATTATTATTTTACGGATCAATCACGAGTCAATTTTTGCTTGTTTTTTTTCCTTCCACATAACTAACGCTTTGGTAAATTACCATCTTACACTTTATATATACATACATATATAGTTCGGTTTCTTTGTTCGTTTCGTTTCGCGTTTTTTATTCACTATGACTACAAATGTTCGTACAATTAAATTTCAATATGCTCAAAACAAATTCGGTGGAATTGTAACCAATATAATATTTCTTCACTTTTAAGATGTGATCGTAAAGCCTTCTCCATTTTCAAGTGGCTGTAATCGGTAAAAATGGACCGGAATTTCGATGTTATGTGTGTATTGATTATTTGTTTGGGCACTGGTGGCGGTGGCTTCTTTTTCGGGCTCATTATCTTCATTGGGCACATTAATGTGGAATGTGGATCGGGTTTGTTGATTTGGTGGTGGTGGTACAACGGTTTCGACATTATTTGACGGTGACATATATTCAGCCGATTGCGATGACATCATCGGCCGGAATTCGGTTGAATCATCTTCACTTTCTTCGCTGCTTGAACGCATTCTTTCACGTGTCAACAAATCTCTGCGTAATTGAGCATACTGTTGCTGATGGTGCAATTGATGTTGTTGATTGTACGGCGTTTCTGGTTGTTGTGAAGGCGAAAATAGGTTTGTATGATGCTCTTGTTGTTGCGTATTTCCTTGTTGTTCACGCAAGTGTTCTGGTCGCGGCGCAAATTCTTGGAACTCATTTGATTGCGACGACGACGACGAAGATGAAGCACTTTGCTCGGACGAATGGGGTCGTTGAGCGTTTATATGTTGGTACTTATTGTTTGTGAAGTCTGTATGGTGGTCGTAGGTTTTGAGATGTTGATGGGAGTCATGTCCTCCATGGTGATGGGAGTCATGTCCTCCATGGTGATGCGAATTGAAATCATGATGATAGGAATGGTGATATTGAGGCTTTTTTATTGGAATAATTATGGGATAAGGAACCTGTAACATTTCAAAACATTTCACGATTATCACTTCGAACCAACCTTATAACATTACGAAAAAATTACCTTCTTTTCAATTGTGTAAGGAACGGGTTTTTCAATTGGAACTAGAAAAATATAAATCAAAATGTTTGTGTTTTTAATAAGCATTTAGTAGCAAAAAACCATATTTACCTGGCACTTTGATTTCAACTGGGATATGTTTTACTACGGGATAGGGCTTCAAAACGAAAGAATTTTTTTTAATTGATTAGAATCAGTACTACTATATATTGAATGTTTGAACACGGTTATTTTAATTCAATCAAATACCTTGGGGACATGGACAATCTGCAAAACAAAGTCAAAGCAATGAGTAAATCAATTTATTTTTCAAAATGGAACCATTTCCATTAAAAGCATACAATGTTTGGAAATCACTTACTTTCTCTACGATTTTTTCAACAGGCACGGGAATCTATGGAAATGATAATCAATGTTAGTATCATTTTAACATAATTTTTTTTTGCTTCATCAATTTAACCGTTTTTCTCTAAATATTTGTACAAGAAAATCTCTGAAAAAATTGAATACGTATGCTATATACATAGTACGCGTGATTACTGCTTTTGAGGTCTGTTCAAGAGCAGAAATATAACCAATTGTTTCAATTAATTTGTGCGAACAAAAAAATGGTATATTAAATCTAAGAAAATATCATCAAAATAAAATTGAATATAACATTTGAAATGTTAATTTGAGTGCATAAGCAATGTATTCTAAGCGCCTTGCATGCTTCTTTCATTTAGTAATAAATTTTCATGAAAGTAGAATGCAAAGTGTGAGCCCGTTATGCAGGGATATAAAGCATACCTTCACTTCCTTCACCTCGGTCACTTTCACAGGGTATGGTTTCGGAATGACCTTTTCTATAACCCTATCAACCTATGAGAAGCAAATAGAATATCGGTTGATACACTCGTCTCGAACCTTTCTTTAGTTTCTTGAAAATCAGCTATGTATGATTTTGGTTTTCAAGCGTGCGGTAAATGCAAAATGTGGAACTTTTGTTAGGTTTTCAAAATAATTTTGATATGCTTAAGCATATTTCAAAACAAAAATACAAAAATTCAACTGATTTGCAAATATGTGTGCTTTAAAGAAAATGTGATATAGATATAAATGAAAAATGTTAAGCATAAAGCGCCAATTGCTGGATGAATCAAGTGCACAAATGCGCCAAATTAATATCTCGTGCTTACAGGGTACGGCTTTGGGACCTATAAGAATTGCGAACAATTAATATCTAAAATCTGCACAGTTTGATACAGTAAAAAAGTGTTTGCCCAAAAACAACTTGCAAATGCGATTTTGAATTTAAAAAACAATTTATCGATTTTTCTTCTAAGCAAAATGTTTGGCTTTGCAAAAAGTTTTGATAAGCCCAAAGGTTTCATAAAAGAAATTATAATTTAATTACATGGACCAATTTCTCGACGATTTGGGGGACCTTTACAATCTGCAGATATGGAATTTAAGACAATTAACTGAATTCAACATTGTGAAATGGACAATTATCGTAGGAAGTTTACCTTTTCAACTGGAACCTAACATGAAAAAGTAAATTCGAGTCATTAGTCATTCATCACTTTTAAATATGAAAAAAACTTACTTTTACAATTTTTTCTACTGGCACGGGTTGTGGCACCTAAAATAGCATCAATTTAGTTGCATTGCTTTTACCTTATTTTTTTTAAACGTCGTTTTCTTGATTTTCATTTAATGAAATGTTCGAAAAACCTACCTTCACGATTTTTTCAACCTAGAATTAAAATTAGAAAATTAAATTTAAAGGTAAATGTGAAGATAACAATACTAGATGTGAACAATACTAGTCAATCAAAATTATGAGAAACTGTCACATATTGAACATATAAATATTAAAAACATCAACTTACTGGGAATGGTTCCTTCTTAACAATGGTCTGAAACACAAATCAGTACAAATTTTGTTAATTCAATAGTAATAATCATTTCACTAAACGACAACAGTTTCAGTTTTGTTTTTAAATTCATTTTACCTTGATGTGATTGTGATGATGATGGTGATGGTGATCTAAAAATGTGTTTAATTTTAATCAAATAATCTTAATCAAATTCTTCAAATTAACTTTTTTGCAACTGTATTTCTATCGGTGAAAGAACTCTAGATGGTGAAAGAATGTGATAGTCTTCTTGTAGATCGAAAAAATACCGAGAGAAATGATTTTGATATCTTTTTTAATTTTCAATTTTTCGAGAAATGGGTTGGTAGCTCCCACATAGTATGTATATTCGTTTTTCTTATCCATTGAACTTTATATAAGACTCAATTATTTTGGTTGATGGCACCCATAATGATTGTAATTATTTGAAATCGGAAAGCGTTTGGCTTGACTTACGTTTAACTTTAATCTTTTGTTTATGTTCATAATGATGGTCTGAGCCGGCATTATCTTGGTCGTGTCCATCGACATCAATCATTTTTTCTACTTTTGAACTTTCAGCCGCTGCGGCTTCCTGTTGTTTGCTCGTATATCCAACATGTTCATGGGTTTCAGATTCGGTGTGTGAATCACGTTCGCGATCTCGATAATTCGATTTCATTGGATATAAATGAATTTGTCGAACTTTTCCATGCCGACCATGTTTTTTAACTATGTGAATTTTAAAATCTTTTTTCGGTTGCCACTTTGATTTTGCTGGTCGGCTAACTGATTCATCATAATCCGAGCCATCCGGTTCAGATTCATCAAAACGAATGGCCGATGCTATTGCAATCGTTGCAAGTACCAGCAAACAAATTGCCTAATACAGGTAAAACACAAAAACAAGAAAAACTTCATTAGAATCCACTATCACATGGCACTTTTTTATATATCCAACTATAATTCCGTTTGTTCTGTGCAAATGTGTATCCCATCATATCACCAATATAAGTGTATATTCGCACTAAATCACATAAAATTTTATTCGTTTCATCTCACTACTCACCGTTAGCTTCATTTTAGATATTGAACTACGAAATGGAAAAAGAGAACTGTAGCTTGGCTCAATGAAAACGAGTCTTTTATACCTTTTCCCAACCACCAAGTTCAATAAGCATGGTACGCCATTGGTTTTGAATACAAAAGAAACGATGCAAACGATGAAGAAGAAGAATGCGAAAAAATCGCGATCAACAAAATGCTATACACCATAAGTAAGTAGTGGAAAAACTGAATTGATTTAATTAATCCATTAATTTTTTGTTTGTTCAGAGATTGAAGCTACTATTCACACCATATATTCACTTTCGCTGGCAAATTTTTTTTTCTTTCAACATGCATGTTTGCTTTTGCTGTGATTTTCTTTCTCTTATTTCCCCATTTCATCGAAAACCACCTATTTCGCACGAGCCAATGCACGTGTTTGACGCGTACCTTGATGTGCGTTTTTTTCTCTCTTTCATGTTATTTGCGGTGGCGCAGTGTTTTCATACGAAAAACCTACACAACATAAGTCAACTACCGATCAAATTTAGTATGTACCATCAAAAATACACACACGCACACACATGTGCACGCATTTCAATTGAGGTACTGATATTGAAGTGATCGGTGGTGCGAATCACTTCGAACATTTCATTTTAGTTCATGCTTTAGATATACAATTGCAACATGATAACGCGAATCATGACTCCTAATTGATGTAATTCGTGCGTGCCTTCTTTGGCAGACGTGCGCAATGCCGTAGATAGTAGGATATTTAAGCGATATTTGATATGCTTTGTTGGAATGAACAAAAACAGTGCTTTAACATAAACAATAACGATTAATATGAAAGAAAAACAGTACCGTTTATTGCTCCGTACGCGCACATATTAACAACAATACGAATTGGATTAACGGTTTTTGTTGTTGTGGTTATTGTTATTCCCTTGCAACCGCATGTTGAATACAAAAATGGTGGAAGCGATTTCATTCAATAAATCCACGCTCATCTATTCAACTAATATAAAAACAGCAAAAAACAATAATAAAATTGAAAAAAAAAAACATTTTGACGCCATAATACATCATTGTATGTAATCGCCTCTAAATCGAGAAAAAAATGCACTGACTCGATTTATATGCAGTAAATCCGATTTCATGGAGTTTACTTCGACATTGCAATTAAACTTGCGTATACGCTGTTCATTTAATTAGTGCAGAATGAAGACGATGAACTTGGAAGAGGTTTATCTCTCTTTTGAAAAACATTACATCGAACATAATTCATTTAGTATTTTTCCCCCCGTTTTTCATTAATTCTTTTTTCGATTCGCATTCACTGATTGGTAATTATCACGGCAATCATCGGCAACGCGTCATAACATAAATGACCGGAATAAATACAATAAATACCGGAATGAAGCAGTTGTTTTACAACACCGTAAGGAAATAATAAATGACAATTTCTTACTAATAAGGTGTAATAAAACAACACAACACAATTTTATTAAATGAAAATTTATTCAGAAATAGTCATAACATAAACATTTTTCATGATTTCTTCCGAAATTTATGTACAATAAAAATGGTAAAATGAGCAAATCTTATCACCTAACTATATGTGGGTAAGTGTTTTATTCAGCAATAAGTAAGAATTCGTTTTGCCATTGGAACTTTTCTTCATTTTAACGACTAGTTGAGTTAACTGATATATTTTTTTAATGTTTTGGTACTTTTTGTTTAGAAAAATGCTATCAAAATTTGGTTGCTAGCTAATATAATAAAATGAAATTCCGTTGGCAAACGATGTAGAAAACTAAATAAACTAAATTTAATGAAAAAAATGTGATTGATTGCCACTTTGAATGCAAACAAATGTGTATATATATTTGTTTTCGGAAAATATTTCCTGGTTTCCGGTTGTTAAGTTTTTTTTTTTTGGTTAAATGAAATATGTTGATTATATATTCTTCAAGATAATTCATTTGTTTTTTTTTTAAATTTTTTGTTTAACTTGCACATTGATATTGCCGACGCTTTTACTTTGTAATTTTAAAAATAACACTTCACGGTGTGTTTGCTTTTTCACACGCACTTGCAGCAAATCGACAGTGGACTATAGCAAGCATAAAAATAATACAATTTTTACTTTCGATTATATTGTAACATTATTTTTAACGAGTGATTCTCACTTCTTTTACAATTTGTTTCCTACGTTTTTTCGTTCGTTTAATTACTTTATGCTTAATGCATACAATTTCGTTGTAAATGATTGTTAGTCATTTGATTCGTTTTGAATAACTATTCAATTTTAAATGAAAAAAAAAAAACATTATTTAGCAAAATAGTGCAGATTAACAGCATCTCTCATTTTGTAGTTGGATAATAATATAAAACGGTGTTCCCAGCCAGCTGCCAATGCGATGCTTGCAGCTCAATCAATTGTAGCAAAGTTCGTCGAATCGTTGGAGCCGATGCGGATGAGTTCAAAAACGCATCGCGAACCTTTGATAGTAGTACTTCCAATTGCTGTTGAAGATGCTGTTCGATGTCGCGACCAACACACGTTAGCACGTAGAATAGACATTCAATCTAAATGAATATACATTAAATTAATTATTATTCGATTAGTTGAGGAAATTTGTCTACCTCTGATAATGATCGAACTGGTGGTTTCACACAATCCTCGCAACATTTTGATAAAACAGTTAGTAAAACAATTGGTGGTGGAACGCCATCACATTTCGTACGTAATTGTAATTGGCGCCTCTTCAATTGACAGAACATCTCGGTCAGGAAAGCCATAACTGTAAAAAAAGTTGATAATATTTAAAAAAAACTTTTGAATTTTATCATTTGTTTAGAATACATTACAGGCTGTAAATCTTGGCCGTGCACTGTTCTTTATTTTTTGCGGTGATCCTAGGATTTTTTCACGCTCCTGCAGTAGATCAAAACATTTCCAATAAAATGGAAACAGTTAGTAAAATTAAAATGCATTCGCTTAAATAATATGGAGATATATCGTTGTTTTTACCTGATACCATTGTCGGCATGTATTCAATAATGCTTCCAAAAAGGTTTCTTTCTGCTCTTTTGCTATGATTGCTATACAAAATCGAGATGCTGGCAATGCAAATCTGAAAATATCAACGTTTCAAAATTAACGAACTTCATGATCAAATTAAATCCAAACCACCATACATACCGTCTTCCTTCGACGGCTCTCTGCATAATTTGATTGGCCAATACCATTAACGAGCGTGCGTTCAATTTATTCGGATCAATCATAGCTTGATCAATGAGTACCTGTATTTCTGGTTTAAATGTGCCAATATCATTTGATTCGTTTGCACATCCAAGTCCAAGACCGGCAATTCCTCTGGTCAATGAGCATGCATCTGCCGATGACAATGACTTTGATCTCTGCAATGAATTTGTATTCGAATTGTTTGCGCCAATGGATTTCTGTTGATGATTATTCGGTTGATCTATGGCAAACTTAACTTTTGGTGCAGCCTTGTTTGTTGAAAAACCAAACAAAAACAAAAACAAGATTAGAAAGTTATGAATGAAAAAAATCCGATTGCGTGATATCATTGTAATTATTATTATGCAAAAGCCTACTTACACTGATTTGAATTCCATTTGAAGATCTATTTACTGTGGGAGTTTGAGCCTGTCCAAGATTCATGTGTTGCAGTTGTTGCATCGGATGCGAAACTAGAATTGTACGCGGTGTATTTATATTTGCCATTTGTTCGGCGTGGTGTCGAGCAACCGCCAATTGGATTTGATGTTGAATGTTTCCACTTGATTTCGAATGTTGCAAAAATTGTGCGTTCGGCGTGAAAAACCCGATGGGCTGCGTGTTTTGTTGCACTTCACGATTTATCACCGTAAACTCTGGTGCATTTACATTTAGCTTATTTTGTGCAGATGTACCATCGGAACGAATATCTTTGAATAATCAATGTAATTTCAATGAAAAAAAAAAACAACAAAGCATTGCATCAAAATTTAACTTACTCGGGGGTCGATATATTTCAATGGATTTCTTCGAACGTATTTGCTGCTGCTGAATATCGTGATGCATTGCATTTGTTGGATGATTGAAGGCAAGACTACGTCTCTTATTCTGGTGAGCCACTTGTTGAGGTGTTCGCACGAAACTACGTTCGCGTGTTAGACCTGTTGCTGCACTACCAACTACAAAGTCTTGCACATTTTTACCATTCGATACCATGTGATTGGCCATTTTCAATTTGAAGTATCGTTTTTTTCTTCTCTTCACTTTTTATCATACGAATCTTTTAAAAAATATCTCTTAAAAAGTTATATCACATTCAGTTGCATAGTTTTGACTACTTCTTGTTCATCAATAACGAATTGTTGAATTTATTACAAGACAAAACGTTTTGCTCAGATACCTGCAATAGAAATATTGAGTTTATTCACATTACCAATAATGAATCATTTCAGTTTTCTTATTCAATAATACACTTTTAGCACAATGATCGCTCTAAGAGTGTTATTTGCATAAATGGTATGCACACTTTAAAAGCAGTGCTTTAAAATAGCATTTACACCTCCGTTGTCGCGATTTTTTTGGAAATCTTGTTTTTTACTCATCAGATTTTTGAATTGAACTTTCGCTTTATCTTTTATATTTATCAAGGTGCTGATGTCACTACAATACCATTTCAACAATCATAAGCCCGAACAATACAAAGATAAGAAATGAAATCAATAATCGTTATTCATAGTGTTAAATGGAACGTGGGCGATGTTCGCTATCTTATTGATAGTCAGCTGTTGTACTGAATGCATTTGGTAACATAGATGTAAGAAACCGATGGTGTTTTGTAAATCAACAGGCAATATGTATATTTTTTTGTTAAAGAATCCACTGACGGAAAAGAGAACAAAAAAAAAATAATACTTGAGTATTTATTTTAATCATTTGTGTTGCTGCCGACCGAACAACGATACTAATTTAGAAATTATTGCGGACGGAGAGCGAATGTGTGCAAATGTAAACAGTTGCTTTGTGCCATATATAACATATGCCAGTTGAGCTGAGTTGTGATGCGTAATCGAAATGTTACATCAACATTCCATTTATATTTGTCTGAGAACACTTGAAGAACTCTTATTTTGATCAAATTGCATATTTCACATGTCAAAAAAATGGTTTATGCTCTCGGTATGTCAGTAAAAAAAATTGTGTTTTGTTCGCAATTTGCATTTTACGGAAGTAAACCACCAGTACATGTTACCGCCCACTACTATTGATACACTTCACTTCAATTTCCTTGTGCAAAATTTTATTCCTCTTCGCCGACTCTGTGTTCCGCAATAATTTTTGAATTTCGAATCGATGAAGTAATAATACAATTCATCAACAATTTAAATCAATTTAATAGTTCACTTCATAATAAAAATTGAAACTAAATGCACATTATTGTTTTGTGTTTTTTTATGTGTTTAATTTGGAAAAATTGTGAAAACAAAAGTTCTGTGTGCAATTTCCTAAAATAACGTTACCTGAGGTGTGACCGCGCGATCACTTTTTTTCTTTCCTAACAATTAAGCGATTAATATTAGTTGTGGTCGTAGTGTTTTTTTTTTAATTTTCTTAGTTATTCAAAAATAAAAAATGTCTTTCGAATATCTGATTTCGAGTCGCAAAAATTTCGTATTACTGTTCGACGAAGAATTTTTCGTTCGATTGAATAAGCCCGATCGACAAATGAGGCGAGAGACTGCGCAACAGAATATCACATACACGCCTACCAAAACAACATTTGTCAACATGAATGACACTAACACATGACGCATACATGTGCTATATTTATACGATTCGAATTTATTGTATAATATTCTTCAAAGCACATTCACACACCGCATATTAAATGGGCACAACCGACTTCACAATTCAACACCAAATACACGCTCAATTGACGCTTGTTAATACGATATGTGAAGATCCATGCGCGCGCATATCTAACAAGTACCGCTTATTTTGGTATGGTTAAGAGTGAGATAGATGAATAATAAGTGATGCATATCTCATGCCTCTATTAATTAGACGAAAGAAAACGAAAGAGCAATTGGATTTAACTGTTTATTTTTTTTTCTAGAACAGAACAATTATATGAAGATTGCTATTGTTGTTGTTTTTTCTTCAAGTTTTTGTTCTAAATTTTCATAATTTCCACGAATCGCTCTTTTCCATACATATCTTTGTAACATGCAACAAATTTTAGATTCAAGTCAGATTTATTTTCTTGCAGATATTCTTCAATCAATGATGGATGCGATGGGTCCACTTCCAGCCACAGATGCCCTTGAAGCTTAAGTCGTTTGGATGCAAATGTTAAAATGCTTCGGATAATGTTCAGACCATCTAAAGAAGAAAAAAAAACCAACAAAAATTATATTTTATTTTTTCTTCTAAATTTCATTTTTTTTTTTTTTATTTGTCGTTAAAAACAGGTTTTTGTGGAATATTTTTTACCAGGTCCACCATCAAGTGCCCGTAGGTCTTCGTACAAAGAAATTTCTGGTTCCAATTTTTTTAGGTCATGCGTTAGAACGTATGGTGGATTCGATACGATTAAATCGAGTTTTCCTTCAATCATCGGTAATTCACTTTCGTTTGTCAATTTGTGTTTGATAACTTTGATGCGATTGTTAAGTTGTAAATTTTTTGCGTTCTCGAGTGTTAATTTGCATGCATATTCGCTTTGATCAATCGCAATGGATTGTGCCTGAAAAGAGTTATGTATATTATATTTTATTGGTGGTGGTCTATTTTTTTCACACATCAAATAAAGGGTATTTGAAAGTGTTTCTATTCAATCGAGGGGCATTCAATTTCAGATCTACCTTGGGGAGTGAGTGAAGTAATGATAGAGAAATAGCACCAGATCCGCACCCAACTTCAAGGAATCTCATCGTAAGTTTGTCGTCGCATTGCTGCAAAATCAATTCGACCAGTTCTTCAGTCTCTGGCCTTGGTATGAATACTGGCGGCACCATTTTCAGAACCAAATCACAAAAGTCCCACTCGCCTATAATGTATTGAACTGGCATTCGTGCCATACGACACTCGCACAATTGTTCAAATCGATTTATTTGCTCTTTTGTCAGTATGATTTGTTGGTCATCCTTTTTATCAGTCAAGGTCTATAGCAATGAAGGTCATCATAAATTATGCCATGAAAAAAAAGAGAAGAAAAAAAAAACAAATTACCTCTCTTTTATCAATTACATGATGAAGAATGTGTTTGATGGAAGATTCAATTTCGTCAATGTTTTCTTTCGCAAATTTTTGTTTCCATTTTTCAATGATTTCAGTTTCGGTCTTTCCCAGTGCAGTGTTCAGACCATAATTCAGACATCGTAATGTGTTCACATTTAATACAGTATTGGCTGTCAACAGTTGCCTGCTCAATTTTTGTAGAAACATTTCTAATTATTAATATTTATTGTGTGAAAATTGATTATTTCAAATTTTCGCTTTAATTTCTCGGTTAAATTACAACATTCTCATGTTTCTTTCGTCAAGCAAAACAATGCTGTTTCAGGCAAAACTGTCAAAGTCATCTGTCAAAGTTATCTGTCATCTAAGCGAGCGAGCGCTGCGGTGCCAACCTAAAGCTTTTCACATACATACTGAGACGGCTAAAGTGAGGTGTTAATGAGAAAATAAAACAGTTTTCTTCGGACATTTTTTTATTCGAATTTTCTTAATCGCATAAATTCATACATTTCATACTTAAATCTAAAAAGTAAAAAAATTCAAGCAAATTTCTATTGCATCTTTTTACACATTTTCTGTCAATAAAAACGTTCAACGTTTCTATCGAATACGCCTAATTTTATTTGTTGTTGTTGTTTTCAAATCGGTTTTTTTTTTTGGGTTTTATTTACAGGGAAGTTGATTGATATAACCTACGCCTTATCGTCGGTACTTGTTTCGTCTTTATTAATTGAAGATTGAAGTCGCTTTTTCAATCCACTCATCTGCATTATGCTTATCTAATTATGGAAGAAAAGGTATTGGTCACAATCGTATTCTATGTTTTGATGTATGTCATCTTTTTAAACGAGCGGTGCATCTTACCTCTAAATCTGGATTCTTGGATATTGCTTTCATGAGAATGTCTTTTTCACGTGTGTACATGAAAACACATGGTATTTGCACATCATCATTTTCGTCACCGCTCATTGCAAACATTGGTTGTTCATCTGCATTAGAATCTGGTACATTATCTACAACCTGTCCCAAATATGAATTTAAATGTGTGTCATTTTATTAAATATGCATGAAAAACACAAAATATCATCCTACTGATCAGAACCATCAAATGAGCCATAAATAATGACAATCCTATAAATAAACGCCTTAATAGGTAAGTAGCAATTAAGATGACTTACAATAATAGCTGCTGCTCCAGCTTCTTGACCCTTTCTGGCCTTTTCAATGAAAGTACAATCACCACGCTCCACTACCAGTATTCGATCTTTAATCTCATCAACTGGTATTTGTAATGGCTCGCACAATCGGAATGGTACAGCATAAACTGGTTTTCGCTGTATAGATTCATTTCCAGTCAAAGATTTTGAAAAATGTGATGGTCCGGCAACCAAAAGCTCAATACCACCCGTTTCTTTTTTGAAGAAAACCGCTTGCAGTTCGGTAGTTACCGAAGTGGCTATATGCGATGACTTAGATAATTCAACAATTTCTCTCATAAACAGCAAACCTTTTTCGGCATCTTCTGGTGTTTTGGCCTGTAAAAAGAAAAATGATTTACTCACAGGTGAAACAGACAAATGAAATTGAAAGTACATACATTATAGAAATTGTGCATTAGTTGCACCTTTCCATCACCCACTGAGATCATCGTTATTCCCATGTCCGAAACAGTACGTCTGTGTTCAGCATTACTTGCCTATTTGAAATTGAAATTATTAAAGTCCGCCTTCATTTAATGCCATAGACACCAAATACTCACTCTGAACTCAATGGCGCTTATGCGTTTAGCGCTTGAAGTCCGCGGACATACACCGGATACTAAATCTTTCATTGGTTTTCGTACTGTTTCAGGAAAAAGATGCTTTGGACTAGGGCACGATCGCATGTAGTTCATTGTCAATACTTGTTCGCTACTTTCATCACCTAAAATACAATTGATGCAATAAAATTGTATTTTTTGCAAGTTTTACCACATGAAAAAGAGAAAAAAGGCCTTACTATCTCCACGCGTTCTCGTTATATTTCCCAGTTGGCCAAGTGAAAGTGGTAGTAAGTGCGCTTCGGTAGTGAATATGAATCGGTCTAAATCCAAATCAATTTCGGACGGTTCGGCAAATATTAAATATAAATATTTCAATGTTTCCGACAAAACGAAACTGTCCATCCGGTCTTCGTTTTTCCCCGTTCTGATGTCATTTACTGCTGCAAAACCGCATTTAACACGAGTGTGTTCTTGTAAAGATTTCAGCACTTTTTTCGCCACTTGCAAATAGTAGTCGTCACCGGTTGCCTTATAAAGAAAGTACGTTGATTCTATGAATTCGGGTCGAATATGATGTTGAGCCCAATGGATCTGAAAATTGAAAAGGAATAAACTATTTAGAATTTAACAATAGAGACATTTTTGTGAAACCATACTTGAAAATCGAATGTGAACGCTTCTGGCAGGAATGTGTGCATTTGCATGACTTGGTAAAGCATTTCATGGGTTTGAACAGCTGGTTTTAGATCGCCAAAGAGTACTTGCAATCCAGGCCAAAAGGCGAGTAACGCGTCTGAAAAATGGAACTTTTTGTGATTTTCTTTTGAAAAATCAATTTTTTTTCTTACCCATGTAGTTTCGAGATTTTGTATGTGGTCTATGCATATGAACGTCCATTAGAAGTCCATTATGTGATATATATTTCATAACAGCTGCATAATGTTTGTTGAAACGATCTAAATAACGACTATCGCCCAGTAGAACGTATGATTTCAGACAATATTCGTAGTATGAATCTATACCGGCTCCAACGCCAGAATCGCGACGAACCCAATCGCCGGAGTGAACGTTCATGACTGTTCCCATTAAATCGGAGCTTCGATGTCGAATTTTCCAAAGTGCGTCCATTGCAGCATGGGCCTTTGCTTCGAAGATCGGTTCACCACTTAGTCGAGACAATGCAGCAAACTCCAATATCATTGTACCAGCGCATGCGGTGCATGTTTCACGGGAATTCTTAAGTTCCTCCGATTTCATGCCGTGCTTTAGATTAATTCGGGCATGCGGAATGCCAGTAGTTGTGTTCTGCAAATAGATTTTAAGTATTTTAATATTTTTAAAGCGAATGCCAGAAGATTTTCCGAAAATACTTTTCCACCAACAATGTCTCCCGACAAATTCAAGATTTTTTCGTGAGAGATCAAGAATTTTTGGTGGAAAAGTAATCAAAAATAAAAGTGGTCTGTATAATTATAATTGGAGCAAATGGTTGTCTACTTACGAAAGCAGGCAGTAGCCGATATCCCAAATCTTTGGCCATTTCAAGTAATTCACCACGGTACCATTGTAAATGAGCATCATTACCACGCTCATTTTTTCGAATATACTCTGCCAATATGTGCGCTGACAGTAATCCGCTGAAATGAGACGTTGTTGTTCCAATTCGTTGTGATAAAAGTTAATTTTCGAAAATAAAACACAATATACAACTTACCCAATCATTCTAATATTCGTTTCGAACACTGACACAATGATGTCATTGTCGAATTTTACATTGTCAATGACTAATTTAACAGCATGCTCAAATTCATCATAGTCACCAATAATAACTAATGTATCTAATGTGTCGACTAAAGTCATCGAGAAGCTGAAATGAAAAAAATCGTCAGATCAGTCAAACATTTCAAATAATTCAAAACGTTTAAATTAAAATTCACTTTAAACGCGTTACAAATATTTGTTTGTGTCAGCTGTTTACATTATGATAAGCAATTTATTTGCCTTACTTATCTCCAGGTGGTTTACCACGTCACCGTTACAAATTGCCATGAAAAAATTTGTTTTACTTACTTTCCTAATACGTCGTCCATATCGCCTCGGCTCGGTGTAACTCCCCGAAACCGGCCTTGACACGATAATGGCATCAATTCATCGGCTGGATATGCATTTTCCATATACGATCGGTACCCATGGTAAAACATTTCTAACGTTTCTTCTCTGAAAAAAAAAAAAAAAATGAAACCCAATTGATAAGCGATTACAATGTCAATTCAGAAGTAATTTCAATGCAACTTACTTGAGTTGATTTTTTTCCTTGTTGGACATATTGTGTGTAGGCAAAATGGATTGTGCGATTGTGAGGCAACAAAAAACTATCGAAGTGATGAGCATACACCTCGTCCGAGGAATTTTCAAGGAAAACGCTCTCATTTTCACTTTCTATTACTAACTAATGATCTGCTCTTAAAGTTGTTTTAGATATTCGTTTTGTGTGTATTTCATGTGCGTTCCCAGCTTTGGTACGCACCAATTTGGCATGTGATTTATTTATTTGTATTGAACAAAACGAAAACATGCAGAGCAAAATCAAAATAAAGAAAACGAAGAACCGATAAAGAAAAATAAAATGAAACAACAAAAAACCTGTTCACAACTGACACTGAACGTGACACGGAACAAATTAGAGTAGAACACTTAAAACTATCTACTCGTCACCACGAAAGGAAACCAATACATTTTCTTTATTCGTCGACACAATTTATTCAAGACAAAAAAAAAATTACGATTTTGCCAACACTCCCAATAATTTACAAGTGTACACAGCTGATTATTTTCTAAAAAAATTTTTTTTGATATATATACATTTGATGTGACGTTTCAATTCTTTTGACATTTGGCGTTTAACATATTCACACATTCGTAGGAGATTTAGCAATGGTGAATATATGTATTGATGTAGATGTGTTGAGTACCGTGTGAATGTATTGGTGTTGCTGTGGTGAACTATGGAAGAATTCGTTACTCGCATTAAACATTAGGAATACCATAGATGAATTAATTTTTTTTTTGTTTACACAGATTTTTTTTTATTTAAAACATCATACTAATTGAGTAAAAAGAATGTTTCGAATATTTATAAAATTTACATTCAAGATATTTTATTCATAAATGTATTCATAATAATCGAATTTGACATTTGTAAATTCACCACATGTTTATGTTTTGTTTTGAACACCTGCCTTGGACTAAATGAGCTCAATACGAACTGCAGCCAACTTCTGGCCGTAACACAGACAAAACGAAGAAAAATAAAAATCAAAGAACCAGAGCTGTCGAAGTGCGAAGTGTGTGTATATTCCTCGCTGCTTTGTAAATTTTTTTCTCTTCAATTTCTTGACACACACAAAAACAAAATGAAATAGAAATAAAGAAAAAATTTATTCGCCTAGCAAATTTAAACCAAATGATTAGAGAAATTTAAACATCAGTAGGTTGTGAATAAACAATAAGTGTGTAGCAAATAAAAATTTGTGTGTTTTAGTTGTGTATTAGTGCTAAATAGTAATTTGCAAATGAGTTTGACAAAACACATATATCACAAACAAATCAATTGAGAAAAAGGTTCTTAATTAAAACCAAAGATAAAGTCCAAACTCGGTGAAAATACAAATGTAATAAAAAGATAAATCAAAAGAAAAAAAAATCAAATTTTCCGTAATTAAATCAAAACCAAATAACGAATGAAAGAACATTTTTAGTAAAACTATGAAATATAGAAAATTGATTTGTGTGCAGCAAAATGTCATATTGAGGAATTGAACGAAAGTGTATATTATAAAAGGTAACATATATCTAAGGTGCATTGAAAGTTTTCGATCGGGATGTACAGTAATTTTTGTGTGTTTAGTGGTGAATTATGAGAACTAAACTAAGATTCCATCACACCCATTCTGACAGGGGGTTCTATGCAACAAAAAATACACCATCGATTTACCAATAGTGAAACAAATTTCGTTCTGGATATTTATCAAAGAATGTTCCATTTTCAATGTTTTCCAAATCAATAAAGTTTGCAACCACTTGAGTTGACTAGTGCTTATTTTGACATTTCACAAAGGACACCATGAACTATAAGTCATTCACATCAAAATCCACAATGTTTTATTTTCACGTTGAAATTTAATAAATATCGCTTCAAATTACGCATCATCAATGGAAACGATAGAATGAATGTCATTTAATAATAAATTGTCATTAAATGTAAATGTAGTGGTTCTAATGTCATTATAGAAACACCTTCCGAGTAAGCAAACAAGCAAAAAAAAATTACGATTTATTCATATCGATATTATTACGTCATGGTCATATCACATTTTGGCAAATTTGTGTTAGACATTCTCTGCAGACGAATACAAATTCGAATGTGAAATGCATAAGAAATTGTAAAATTTTGCAATTTTTACAGTTACACGTGAATGAAGCATTCTACTTTCATGACTTGCGAGTATGCGTGTATGTGTGCCATTGATCTTTCGGTAGCCAAACGATATTTTGATGATTTTATTCATAAATTCGATAACCATTCACTATTTTACGTAATTGAAAGTGCTTCAATTTGGTTGTTTTTTGTTTGATTTTATGTTCTGGCATTTAATGCATTTTGTTTGCGACGATGTTGTTTTGATGCTTTTGGCGACAGCGCTTAAAATTATCTATATATCCCGAATTACATAACAAATGACTGTGGTCAATGTACTACTAAAACGAATTTACTGATGTAAAACTCAATGTTGTAAATAAAAGCAATCAAATGCATTTTCTCGTTCCGTTATATTGCACTCATTTATCTGAAACCTACAGTTTCAAGCCCACTGTGAAATTACTGCTTTCACTGATTTTTCATGTGTATTTCAGTGGAAAGCCATGGGTTTTTCATTGAACATTTCATATTTTTCGTCGTATTTTTGTTTTTGCACGACGCTTTTTTAAACAAAGAAGAAAATTTATCGTTGATAAGTCAATGTTGATTTCATCGTATTTCAGTTTGTTTTCTTTCATTGTGTATATCTTTGCCAGAGAGTTTTTTGAATGTTTAATTTGAGCAAGTGATGTCAGCATTGGGATGGATATTCGATCCTAAATACAGTTATTCAACACTTTGCGTAAATTTCAAAGTTTATTTTTGTTGGTATTTTTTTTCTCTCGCTTTTTTCAGACATTTTCAAATGCAAAATGACGTTCGAAATACATGACAAACATATTTTTTTTGTGAGTGCATGTGACTTAACAATAAAATGTCAATTAGTTTACTGTTAGCTAGCAGGAACATCGCTGTGAGCGTAACTGCTTATCGGTGGCTGTGTTTGAAATACATTATTTTAAACGTTGATTATTGTTTATTGGTGGTTCTTGGTTTCAATTTAATAATAAAATCATTTTCGAACTGAGTTTTGATGTGAAATGATTCGAATCGAGTTTTGTGTGGAATAAGTAAGAGCAATTGATAAGCAATTTAGCATTGACTCACCGATGCATAAACAGTGATTCATTGCTATAGAACAATCAAACTTGTTTGGATAATGTGTCACTTTCTACAATTAATTTTTCAGTTTTAAAGCTTTAAGTGAATCGCCCAAAGTCATATTTAAAGAAAAGTAAGACGCCATGAATGTAAAAAAATGATACAGGAATGATATTTGAAAGTGCTTAAAAGTAACCTTAATAGGTGTGAAGAAGAGCGATGCAAATAATATATATTATATTTTAACAAGTTGCAAATAATTACTCGCGTAGTAAATTAATCATAAAAAATTGCATTCTCATAGGTCATCAATTAAAACAAACCAATTACATTTTATATGCACATTTTTTTTATAATCTCAAAAAGTATTCTCTCGATTAGACTTTATTCTTCGATTGAAATTCAAAAAATTCTAAGTCAAAGTCAGTATCAAATGAAGTCGAATCAATGTGAAAGAGCACACAATCTCATCCTTCTTAAATATCACAATCATTTGCATGCATCTATTGTTTAAACACTTCAAACGTTCTGAATGAGAAGCAATAGTTTTGAGTACATGTATCAGTATCGCATTACATGAATTTCAATTGTTGTTGAAGAAATGAGATATTTATTGTTGTTCAAGTCAAGGTAAGTGCGTACATACGCTAATATCGGAACTGATTTGAATGAGAAAAATATGGCAGAACATCGGTTGAAAATCTCTCTCGTTTGTGCATCATATACGTCAATAAATTCAAATGTGAACACGGTATCTTCTTTCCATTTCGGTATTTTTAATCATATTCATCACCAGCAACATCATTCGAATGCTTAGTATGTGAGAAGACTTTGCATGAGAATGCAGTAACTTTTTTCACGCATTTGATAAAGTATCTATTCCGTTGAAGCAAAAATAGGTCGACATTTTCCGGTGTGTAAACAGTTAAATTCATATTTTGAATTTCAGTCGCGTAGTGCTGTTTGCTTATTAGGTGTTATCTTCCGACATCAGCTAAATATTATCCAGTCATATCGGATGATATTATTTTCACGTTCAGTATTTAATTGAGTGTCCTGCAAGGAATTTACCAATTTGTTTGCTATTCCAAGGGATTGTAAAATCTTTGGATATAAAACAGAATCACTTATTTTCATGAAAATATCTATTTTATTTGAAAATTTCTATCAAACCTGGAAATGTTGAAAAATTCCATCAAATTTGTCTCGTCCACTTAAGTGTGTACTTCTTGTGTTTTTAAAGTATGATTTTATAGATGTATTCCATCAACTAACAACGATACCATCAATTATTCTGTCTGCTTTGCTTTCGGTCACGAAATTATTATTTCAAACGTTTCATCCTCAATCGACTATATCGTTTCAATCGCATTTTTTCGTTAGAAGAACATGACGATAAATATCCTTTTGTCTAATTGCTGAAATCAATAAATTTATCGTCATCTAAATATGTTGTGTACTAGTTGACAATGCACGGGGCAATAACCTCACAATAAAGTTTATTTTAAAGGTGAAAACGAATATAAATAAACTGTTACGTTACAATCAAAATCATTATATTTAACTTTATTGAAGCGCGAAGTTGTAAAAGCGGAAGGGTATTTTATTCCTTGAAAAAAGTTCTGAATGATGTGATGAAATGGCAACAGATACTACTCTGTATACGTTTTACTCTGCAATTCAAATGATTCATACAAATGAGATATCGATTAAACTTTCACATGGTTCTTTCTAAACTGTTGATAGTCAATAAACTTTTATCAAAAAACCTTGTTGATCTTCCGCATTTCTCTGAAATAGTCTAGGACCAACAATTATATTGATAATTTTCTGTACAGTAAAACATGTCATACTCATTATTCAACAATGTTCAAATGAACTCAATTTTAGAGTAGACGTGCTCATTTGCCAAATGAATGAATTTGCATAAGAGTAGATGACTATGAAATGAGGCACACGACCTAAAATTAAAAGTAAATTAATTACCAACACCAAACCAATACAGTGTGAATTTGAAATTGGTTTTGTTTAACAAGAATTGCAAGTGTTTTCGGTGACAGATAGCGAGTAGTATAAATTTGAGTATACGACAATCAATTGTCATTTCATTATGTAACAAAAAATCGAACAGAAAAGAGTGAAAAAAAGGCTCAATAGTGAATTGTTTAGGCACAAGATGCACATGCGTTGATTTTGTTCATTCAAAATCTTCAGCATGTTTATTAAATTCAAATTCAAACGCAAACGATTTAGTTTTGCATTTTTTGTGAACAATTTTTACACATTAAAATGGGTAAAGTGTAATTGAATTTTT